CGCCTCTACGGAAATGTTTGAAAACCTCTCTCACGGCAAACCTATTTCCTTCCAGAGTTTTGAAGCTACAACAATGAGACATATATCATTCGATTCGCACATAAAAGATCTACAAAGTTGTGTAGGCGTTTTTATAGTTTCGTTATAGTTTGGATTTTATTTAGTAAAAAGTGAGGAAAAAATCTAAAAATTTACGAAAAATGGCCCCCACCCACAAAAATTAGAATTTAAAAAACGCCTACCCAGTTTTGTAGATATGGTCTTTACGCATCGAATGATATGTGTTTCGATGTTGTAGCTTAAAAATCCTTGAAGGAGATAGATTTCAAAAGTACCCCTTTTTGGCTGTTTTCTAAGAATTTCACGTTTTCTTTCGTTTTTTGAAAAATTCACATGAACAAATGCGAGTTTTTTTCCATTTTATATATGTATGTATACCAAGTTTCAGAGTGACCCATCTGTAAATAGCCGAGATAAAGTTTAGGGCAGTCTGACACAATAGACAAAAAATCATTGGAAACGCTGCTCTCGTGTCCCGGTCAAAATTTTTTCATGGCTTGGTCCTGACTTAATGCTCCTATGCTCCTATAGAAATGCATTGAAAAATATTGGACTGGACCGTGACTGTCTGCTGACTGGCACCCGCCAGCCAATACGGTGTAAACCACGCCTTACATGAATTGTCACTTCATTTTTATCGCTGAACATATTCAATGAAAAGGTTTCAGTGTACCTTTCCTTCTATTCTCAATATTTTGTGCCGATATCACTTTAATAAGTTTAAAACTGGTGTGGAATGCTTAAAATATAACTACTACTAGTACTACACTTGTTGCATAGTCATCATGGACTCGACGAGTGTCTTTCAAGCGTTGTATGTGATTCCAGGACTCAAAAATAACTAACAAAAATAAGTATAGTATCGCCTTTACGAGGTCAATGACAGTATTAGCTTAAATATGAATTAAAGACGTGCGTTTTCGGCTCCATGAACAAGAGCGTGGGCAAATGGCTGAACCTCGACATGACCTGTTAATAGAGTTAAACCCATTAACTTTTTTGCAACCTGAGGTCGCCCAACTTCTTTAATCAAGTCACAAATACTTAGATCATTAATTATGGAAAATTGCGAGATAGAGACAAATTGCCAGACAAATGGGTAAATTGGTGGATAAAATTCCAATCTGCCATGTACTTTCAATCTGTCATGTACATACCTTTCAATCTGCCGTGTACACACCTGTCAATCTGTCATGTATATACCTTTCAATCTGCCATGCACACACCTGTCAATCTGTCATGTACATACCTTTCAATCTGCCATGTACATACCTTTCAATCTGACATGCACACCCCTTTCAATCTGCCATGTACATACCTTTCAATCTGCCATGCACACCCCTTTCAATCTGCCATGTACACACCTTTCAATCTGCCATGCACACCCCTTTCAATCTGCCATGTACATACCTTTCAATCTGCCATGTACATACCTTTCAATCTGCCATGTACACACCTTTCAATCTGTCATGCACACACCTTTCAATCTGCCATATACATACCTTTCAATCTGTCATGTACACACCTTTCAATCTGTCATGTACATACCTTTCAATCTGTCATGCACACCCCTTTCAATCTGCCATGTACATACCTTTCAATCTGCCATGTACATACCTTTCAATCTGCCATGTACACACCTTTCAATCTGCCNATCAAATTTTCATAGAAAATGTTTCGAAGTCCTGCTCCATCGTCAGCTCCGAATTAATTGAACTTATGATCGAGCTGGTCTCCGCAACATTTTGGATCGAGACATGATGACTCCCTTTTCATTTTCTTTCCTTTTAAACTCTTGGATATTTAATTCAGAGAAGCGGAAAATTTGATAACATATATTATACACCTTTCAATCTGCCATGTACATACCTTTCAATCTGCCATGCACACCCCTTTCAGTCTGCCATGTACATGCCTTTAATCTGCCACGCACACCCCTTTCACTCTGCCATGTACACACCTTTCAATCTGCTATTTACACACCTTTCAATCTGCATTGCCCCGTGGCCTTCACTGTACCACATCGGTAATTGTAATAAGAGTTCGCGCAGATAGCAATTCGTTGCAATTGCCGGTATTGCCAATTCATGACGAACGCCGGCCTCTAGGTACCAGCGCAATGCCAGTTTGATGACGCAAACATTTCATAATGGCCATTTCCCTAGCCACTGGCATCAATTAAATTTATTCCTTAAATGATTTAAAAGTTATGGATAGACCTTAAATTTCCTTCCTTTAATTAGTTAAATTAGGTACATTTTAATCTGACATTAAAATTATAAAAATTGTTGAAGGAATTTGAATGAAAAATGTATGATATATTTTTATAGTATGACTAAGAAATTTAATAATCGCCAAAAGAACTTTAAATTAAAATATATGTGTGATTGCATGGTATGACCAAGAAATTTAATACGCACAACAAGAAGAAAAGAAGAATCTTGAATTAAAATGTATGATGTATCCTATATTATGACAGAGAAATTGAAAACTCAAACTCTTATTTTGCTGTGCTTAACCGCCCGGTCCCCTCGCAGATTCGACCAGAACTTAGGCTATGCAGAGTTGGAATCGAACACGCATCCGGGTCGCCTGCCGAAGACCACAACTGCCCTGGATGTAATGGACCATCATGATTCCTGCCTTCCGGAACGTAGCCTTCAACACTTCAAGCCGTCCGTATCTAGGCCGTGGGTCGAATCAGCCCTAGGTCCAACGGCAACTTGTCGAAGGACGATAAATTTTGGAACAGAACTATGCTATCTGAAACCTAACATCAGATGTGGTGAACGTAAAATTACGTAATTTAACGATGCCCGGAAGTCAGATTCAATCCGCGGCCTGGTGGTGCACGGCAGGTGGTGGTCAAGGCCGGAGGAGGACAAAGCCGAGTGGTGCACGGCTGATTGGTGGATATCCGAAGAAATCCAAGGCGTTCGATTCAGGGCTTATTGGTGCACAAAATTGGTGGTGCACGGCTGCGCTCCCCCCGCATCCTAGTACTCAGGAGCCATACTTCCAAAACTCGCTAAGTAAACGTAAGTACTTTATACGCTCTGTTTTCTTGTCTATGATTGGTGGATTTGGCTTGAAAGGCCGTCAATGATTGGCTGATGAACTTACGATCTCTTAACTTTTTTTGACCGAACTGTGACCACTGGGCCACCTTGCCATACACCGAAAAAATGCGCTGTTGTGGTGGGCGCTTTGTGTCAAAAGCCGTGAAGATGCCCGGCTGCGTTACACTCGGGAAGGTATATGAATCGCAATGTGGACTTGGGTTATGCTGACCTCTAGCTATCCACCCCTGACAGACACCCGCCAGCCAATACGGTGTAAACCACGCCTTACAGGAATTGTCACTTAAGTTTTATCGCTTAACATTTTCAATGAAAAGGTTGATATGCGTAATTTTTGCAACAACACAATGTAATCGCCGATAAATTCGGTGTACCTTTCCTCCTATTCTCAATATTTTGGGCCAATATCACTTTAATAAGTTTAAAACTGGTGTGGAATGCTTAAAATATAACTACTACTAGTACTACACTTGTTGCATAGTCATCATGGACTCGACGAGTGTCTTTCAAGCGTTGTATGTGATTCCAGGACTCATAAACAACTAACAAAAAAAAGCATAGTATCGCCTATACGAGGTCAATGACAGTATTAGCCTAAATATGAAAGACGCGCGTTTTCGGCTCCATGAACAAGAGCGTGGGCGAATGGCTGAACCTCGACATGACCTGTTAATAGAGTTAAACCCATTCACTTTTTGCAACCTGAGGTCGCCTAACTTCTTTGATCAGGTCACAAATATTTAGATCACGAGTTATGGAAAATCGGAAGATAGCAACAAATTGCCAAATAAATGAGTAAATTAATAAATGATATGCAAAGTAATAAATACATAAAATGCTAAGAATTAGTAAATAGCATGTCAAGTAATTAATATATAAAATTCAAAGTAATTAAAAAATAAAATGCCAAATATATTCATCAAATTTTCATAGAAAATGTTTCGAAGTCCTGCTCCATCGTCAGCTCCGAATTAATTGAACTTATGATCGAGCTGGTCTCCGCAACATTTTGGATCGAGACATGATGACTCCCTTTTCATTTTCTTTCCTTTTAAACTCTTGGATATTTAATTCAGAGAAGCGGAAAATTTGATAACATATATTATACACCTTTCAATCTGCCATGTACATACCTTTCAATCTGCCATGCACACCCCTTTCAGTCTGCCATGTACATGCCTTTAATCTGCCACGCACACCCCTTTCACTCTGCCATGTACACACCTTTCAATCTGCTATTTACACACCTTTCAATCTGCATTGCCCCGTGGCCTTCACTGTACCACATCGGTAATTGTGATAAGATTTCGCGCAGATAGCAATTCGTTGCAATTGCCGGTATTGCCAATTCATGACGAACGCCGGCCTCTAGGTACCAGCGCAATGCCAGTTTGATGACGCAAACATTTCATAATGGCCATTTCCCTAGCCACTGGCATCAATTAAATTTATTCCTTAAATGATTTAAAAGTTATGGATAGACCTTAAATTTCCTTCCTTTAATTAGTTAAATTAGGTACATTTTAATCTGACATTAAAATTATAAAAATTGTTGAAGTAAAGGCCGTCAATGATTGGCTGATGAACTTACGATCTCTTAACTTTTTTTGACCGAACTGTGACCACTGGGCCACCTTGCCATACACCGAAAAAAATATAACTCAGTACTCACTGCAGTGAGTGACAGAGAGCGCATTTTCTCGTCGACGAAAACGTGAAGTCACGGAGGGACAGACGGACAGACGGGCGGACAGACATGAAGAGCACAATATCGCCTTTTTTCCACAAATGAGAAAATGCGCTAAAAAGTTTAACAGAAATGCATTATATTCCATAGATTGACCAATAAACTGAATACTCACCACAAAGTTTGGTATGTTGTCCAGAGGTTACAGGCGGCTGAAGCTTGCCTCTCCTTGGCGGCGGTGGGGGAGTCTTGCTCTGGCGAGGCGTGCGAGGTGAACGAGTGACGGGCGTGCTGCCCCCTGAACTTTTCCGCTCCACTACAACTTCTCTCTGAAGATATGAACAGATAAAGTGAGTCACCTTACTTGTATTCTTGCTAAAATATTCAGTTTATTGGTTTAGGATACAATGAATCATGATTGAGACTTCAACAATTAATATTAATAGTTCAGTAGCCTACGTCGTTGATTTAGAAGGATTACTGTTCTAGGTAAAACTCCACTTAATCATTCTGTGTTATATAGACCATCAAAATAACCAAGTCTTATGTGATTAGTATTTAATTGTCTTATTAACCTTGTAGCCCGCTGTGAGTTCTGTGATATTAGACCGTCAAAATAACCAAGCGACATGTGATTAATTATTTAATTGTCTTATTAACCTTTTAGCCCGCCGTGAGTTCTGTGATATTAGACCGTCAAAATAACCAAGTCTTATGTGATTAGTATTTAATTGTCTTATTAACCTTGTAGCCCGCCGTGAGTCTGGGTGGTGGGGGAGGAGCGCCATCTCCGGCCGCCGAGATGACGGCGCCGATTCTGGGCAGACCAGCGCCGCCCTGAGCTGCCGAGTCCCACAAGCCACCCTGGCGTCGCTCGTTTTGTTCCTCTCGAGCTTTCCCCATGAAAATACAGGAATTTTTACTTATTTCAATAATATTTGACTGTGCAAGACAATATACCAAGATAAATTTAAATCAATAGTTGATCATAAATATTTAAAACAGTCATGTCCAATAGTCCAATTCCGTAACTTTATTTGCTCGAAATCGTATAAATAACTGAGAAAAATTAGTAAATCATCAAGTTTCTAAGTGGCTGCTAGGACTTGAGACAAATGGCCAGGTCATAGGTTCAGTAATGCAGAAAATCATCACGTCTCTAAATGGCTGCGAGTATTTGCGACGAATATATATATATAGCCAGGTTTTGGTTTAGCTCAGTCCAACAATCTTTCGTTCAGCTAACGCATTTAAACACGAGTCACCATTCAAATCGCAACTCAACACTAATTTAAAGTCTTTGTGTTCAAATTTTTTAGAACAACAATATTGAAAAACGTTTTTGGCTTTATGCTGTCATTTGAGTTGAGTTTGATCTACAAAATTAGTCTTTATGGATAGACCAGTCCCAAAGCTTTTATAAGAATTTCTCTCGGCAAGCGTCTGTTCAAAGCGATCGAGTTCGGCCACTAATGATGTCCGGCCGCGACTTCTAATTGATTAATAGCGAGCTGGCAAACATGCTCGCTTTCGAAGGGAGAACTCTTTTCCATACATAGCAGGCACTAAATTATCTGGAGAACATGTTATATGAATTCTGAAATCAACACGATGGAGTAATTTAAATGACTTTAATTGTCTTGGTAGTCACGATAGCTTAATTGTTAAAAATAGATATGGTTGCCGTATCGATTAGTACGCATTTCAGCGCTTCCAAAAAACACGCCTTATAGAAGTGTAAATATTTATTCATCTGGTTGTGCATTTTGATATGCTACTACTACTACAAGTGAAGTTGATACGATCTACATTTGTATCAGGTTTATAGTGAAAAGTTTGCACAATATATGGAGTTCAACACTTAAAGTAAATTCTTAATTCTCAATGACTGTTGACACTCGTAATAATCACCTTTCTGTTTGGCCTGCCACGCCTCGAGATTGGACTTGGGTTGTGCGGAGTCAGATTCGTATCGCAAGTTATCGTATCCTTGCGAAGCATCGAGTGTAACGTTGAGCGGTCGCTCGGGCGATGGTACCTTCCCGGCAAGGGCCGTAGTTTGGATGAAAGTGGTAGTACTAGCGACTGGCGACGAAGCAGTAAAGGTGCTAAGGGTAGACAAAAGGTTTGCATCTGGGGGCTTGAGGGTCGAACCTATGGAAGTGAAGGCAGAAAGCGGGCTACTGCCAGGCTCTCTGAGAGACGTCGGATTAGAGATCGTGTAAATACGTGAAGAGGAAAACGTGGTCGCAGGCAATGTGGTTGGGGTTGGTCGGACGGACAGAGTTGCCAACGGAGTTGTTGCAGAGTACCTGCTTTTGAAGACGGACTCATACCGAGGGTATGATGAAGGAGTCGCAACTGGACTTGACGCAGCAGGAGTAACAGTACTTTTATGAGGCGGAGGAGAAGAGACTGGCGGCTGGAGATTTTCAACTCCGAGTCCTGGAGAGATCTGGGAGAGCGTGAAGTCAAGATGCTCCATAGGTGTGGTAGTGAACGTAGCAGGAAAGCTTGTAGGCTGAGGAAGAGAAGGATTACAAGAGTTGTGGGGAGCAGGAGTAGAGAGAAGGCCGATAGTGTAGGGACCGTGTGATCGGCGCATAGAGGAGCCACGGTCGCCTAGAACTTCTCGTCGGTAAATGGCTGCCTCTGATGCATGAAGAGGTTGCCCTCTTCATGACGTGCGCTCCTTGAAAAAAAAACTGCCATGAAAGGCACATTAAATTAGTTACTTCGATTGACAGTTATAAAATTCCTATATTATATATAAAATGGATCAAATCCTCCAAATGCCTCTATTTTGATCCGATAATAAATTCAAAACTAAAACGCGAAGAGACAACTTTTGAATATTTGTTGTTTTATTAAAACACTCGCAAGTTTCTTATCAAGTTAAACTTATCAAACTTTCAACATTTTGGTCTCAGCATGAAAGCAGAGCGGATGATTGACTTAGCAGCATTTGTACTAATATAACTCGAATAGAGGCTACAAAATCTTCCTGCCTTCATACTCATAACGTTAGCTCAATTAAACTTCCATTAAAAAAACTCAAAAAAGTTAACGAGGAAGTTTTCAACCAATAAAAAATCAGTCACGTTTTCCGCAGTTCTTTCATGAATACATGGAAGGCTAGCTGAGCTTTGAGTAGGAAATTTTACAAAATAGTTGGCGAAGAATTATCCCGATATTGATTAATATGAGCCGAATAATGGCTTCATCCATATTAAGGATAAAACTTGAATTTGGCTTTACTCTAAACAGTATGTAAAAGCTTTTTACAGGAAAAGGGACAAAACGTATTGTTGACAATGTAGGAAACGTTTTACCGCTACATTTTCAAACAACTGCATATCAGAATTTATAAATTAAATCCACGGAAAACTCTGATATTAATTCTTGACAGTCACCAAAAAGTTTTTGTCTTTGTTAACGTACGTAAAAACGCACCTTGTTCGATGATGCCTCAGCGTCACCAACTTGGGCTCTCAGAACCGATCAGGATCATGCTGCAGGATGGTTGCTTTTGAAATTGATGATTAGATTGATATTATTGATGCTGATGATAAGATTAAATAATTTAACAATTTTGAGCTATGGTCTTCTGTGGTTCACTAACTTGTGACTCACATGCTCTCTATTAGTCTTGTTTCAGAGCTGTTTAAAACTGTCATCACTTTCTTAGTTTTCGGATTTAATGAATAGGGCGCCTTTTATTCAAAGTTTTAAGTGCCCTTACTTTCCGTACGGGTAGTTTTACAGCATTTAAATTATTTCATTAGCACTACCGTAGATTCACAATTAGGCTTGCATTGACTTTCTTCAGGGGCACGGTTTTCGATAGTTGATTTTCTCGAGACATGATTTGTACTAAAAGGCAGTGCGGAGTTGTCACATCACTATTAAAGTGACGATAAAACAGAGAAAAGTCATAATTCGATGGTTCGAATTAATTACGCACTATTTTAGTTTAATAATACATGTGAGGGCACTTTGAGAACGTCGTCATGGACTAAACCATGAGACGAATGGCACAAGACGAAGGCACTGGACAAATAAAATTAATTATACGTTTTTTTTAATCAGTTCATTTAATATACTTTTAGCAATGAAGGAATACCCTGGAAGGAATAAATTTTTTTAAGTTACATGACCAACGATGTGTCTATTCTTGTCTATTATTCCTTTATAATATCCACTATCCCGAACATGTCCCATATCTCGCATTTTCGGCACGAATTATCGCGAGAATTATATTCATATTAAATGATAATAAAAAAGCTGCTTTTTTTTCTTTCTTCGAAAGAAAAAAAGATGCACAAGATTATAATTTTTCCGTAAGTAATCTTTTTAATTGTTTTGCACAGCATTACAAAAAAGTATAACTCCAGTACTCACTGCAGTGAACGACAGAGAGCGCATTTTATCGTCGACAAAAACGTGGTCACCGACGGACAGACGGACGGACATGACGAGCACAATAACGCCTTTTTTCCATAAATGAGAAAATGCGCTAAAAAGGTTATAAAAAGCATTATGCTGTTAGATGAAACATAAGGAAAATGTTATTTCAGAAATAATCTTGCACAACGCCGCAACAAGCGCCCTGCATGATTAATTTTATTTTTGGTACAATGAATTTCCCAAATTTGTCGACATGAGTTTTGAATTATTCACGGTACTAAATGATATTACTCCCGTAACCTAATTCTTATATTCCACGGAGCTTTACAGGAACAAGAGATAAGCGGGCTGAAACCATTTGTCTGTTTTATTTTTAGCAGGTATGCCTGGACGAGGACAGGGAAGAGCCACACCCTGCGCGGTATCGACTGTACACGGCAGACTCCTCATGTTCTCGTCCCTCTCTCGCCCTCTCCTTCTCTCTCTCTCTCTCTCACCTCTGGGCCCATATACTTTCAAAACTCGCTAAATGAACGTAAGTACGTACGCTCTATTTTCTTATCTATGATTGGTGGATTTTGCTTGAAAGGCCGTCAATGATTGGTGGATGAACTTACGATCTCTTAACTTTTTTTGAAAGTATGGGCCCAGGTCTTATGTAGGTCCGCCGGTGCGGATGTGCAAACAACCGCCCCGAGGTTCCGGGGCTAAATGATTCGCTTCATCTTATCGCCTAAAGAAATAATATACTTATAGCACAATGGGATTTATCCCGTGATTGGGATAAATATTGATTTCATTTTTTTTCAAATGTCTAATGTAATAATTTCAATTTGCCTCGAATTCATTATAAAATAGCGCAACCCCTGCGACGAAGTCAGTTAAACCTAAAAATTTAGTTAGTAAAGAAGCAAACTATTATTTTTTAGTGCAATATTTGTGACATTGCTTTGAAATACCCTTCATTACTGAGAGTCAGAAATAAGCTTTTTTGGTGTAAATTACCTTAAACACCAAGAAATTCGCTTCGAAAAGTTTTTTTCAAACTTTTGTTTGATTTATATAAGAATAGCGGGCATTGCGTGTTCGCATATGAAATGACCAGGTGAATGTTGTGAATATGAAGTCGTATTCCCAGTTGTTTGCAAGACACAGAAACTCCCCATACATAAAACATTTCACCTTTATCAGCAAATATTACTCGGTGATCACTTATTTATTTCTTTTTTTAAATACAGTCTTCATCACAGACAAGATGTTTATTGTTTATTAAAAATTTAAACCGCTAAACTAACTCTTCTTTCGGTTGTTTGTCGGCTCGAAAACTGCCAGTGTTTGATTGTCTAAAGGCAGCTACGATTTTTTGTTGCTTTTTTGAATTTTGTTGTATTTTCGAATTTTGCTGTATTGTTAAATTTTGAAGAAACCTTCCCTGATATAACCAGAGCGCCTACATTAGAGCACATGACTTGAAATATACAACAAGAAATCATTGTTATGAATTACTGCAGCAGGGCTTGAATAAATTAAATAATATCGCTGCGAATAAATTATGAAAATTAAAGCTAACATTACGCACCTCTCGATACTATCGAATACTAATAATGCCAGTGTAAGTGTATCCACATGGACTAATAATAAATTTTAAACTTATTACTATTTATTCAAAAACAATATCTTATATTGAAAAAATCCACCTCACACGTTTTTCATTCTTTCCTTAACCATATTCACTCTTAGTATTTATAATGTTTCACTCAAAAAAGGTATACACCGTAATCCTAAAATTCTCGTCAATTAACTTAACGAAAGTATCAATTACTCTGCAAAACGCCATGACACAACAGAACGTTTGGAAGACCGAGTGTCGCATGTCACTGTCTTGCGTGCGTGCTAGAAATCTCAACCTCTTGCACAGATAGAACTCACTTACAGCCAGTTCACTTTGCTCTTCTATTTAATTTCATATGAGTTTTCAGTTGAAAGTTCAGTTTAAAAAATTCCTGCGTGTCGGAGATAAATGAACGTACTTAATACGTTCAACGTTTCTGATTCGTAACGTTAAATTATGCGTGGCTGATTAACAACCTGAAAAAACATTGTCATTACAGTTATAAATTTCTTATAAACTCACACTATATTCATTTGCTCAATTAGACTAATGTCCAAAGCTTGTAAACATCACCTAACAGACGATCCAATCGCTTCTAAATTTTCATCTTCAATTTCCAAACTTTAAATCGCTTCACATTTCCAGTTAAAAGTTCTACGGTAGTTAAATAGCATAGGATGTGTCTAATATTTAAAAAATTAAAGAATTTTTTGCTCATTTGTCACCAATAAAGCCCTCAGCACGATACGACTCCGCAGACAGCCTCGCCGTAGCGATGGTGCTGCTGCTGCTGCCGCTCTAGTTCTCTCGCGGCTTCTCGTGTCGGGGCTCTTACCTGGACCAGCAAAGCTCTTTTTCCAACTGCCCTAACCCTTCCCTTGTGACCTCTTTCCATGCTGGGTTCCGCGCCTGGATCCTTCTATCTACCTGCATAGACCTCTAGCTCTACCCCTGGAGCAATATCTGGAGGTGGTCGCAATGATTACATGTAGGTCGATTATTTTCAGACACGAATATGTAAACATCTTGGAGATATCATCAGTGCGCCTTCATGATACCCACTAAAAATACATAATGAGCAACTGTAGTTGTTTACATGCTAAAGCTGCTTTTACTTCAAGTGTAGATAATCGAGATGTTTCATAAATTTAATGCAGTCGACAATACGACCAGTGTCATTTATTTGAAAATATAAATCAATTGGCAGGTCAAATATAAAATATGCCCTATCTATGTGTCTTGAAAGTCAAATATATGAATATTTTCAATGATTCGTATCGTCCAATCACCTTTGGATTACACCCACCAAAATCTTCCCAACAACGTCGACAAATAAAAGATAAATAATAACAGTTATTAATAATGTAAGCGATTAAAAGTTCATTTTTACATTGTTCGCATCGGTGGATGGCACAATTTAGGGCGAATTAGTTTTCGTGTCATCGCTAGGCTCGTTTCATCGCCGTAACGATGGAAGAAAGTGCCAGTAAACTAATTCTGATTAATCGACAAGATTTGTGAGGTAGAAAGTCGAACCGTAAACATTTCTAGTGGCTTTCAACACGGATATGAAGAGGGGTCGACGACGGGATGACTTTCCATCGCATTTGGATGAACGCGGACATCTTATAAACTTGAATACTATGTACAATTCCACTCGTGTTACGTAATTTTGTGTAGGTAAAAGATTAATGTAGAAACATTCATGGTTCACGACTGTAATTACTCAAATTTTCATTCTGGAGGCATCCAATTAGATAAAAAATACGAGATAATTTTCACCAAGTGGTGAATAATATAGTTGCTGTCTATGGCCCAAATCTAAATAAGAATAAGCAGATAAACGGTCCCCAATTCTGAGGGAGAAGTTATTTTTCTTATAACACTTGGGACCATCGACCTCGAGACCTCGAGGTTAGGGCCGCCCTCTTTGTTCTGACCCGAGTTACGGTGACCCTTTCCGATGCAGGGGAAAGGATGAGAAGCAACACTCATTTGCGATTGATACAGCGATACTCATTCATTTTATGTACTAAATCGCGAGAGCTGGTTTGAACGAATCGATAAATGATTATTAATACTTTGCTATTTATTAAAATTTGTCAACGATAGGTCCACTGCCGAATCAACTCTGTTTTAATAAAGGCAAATTGCCGACGTAAAAAAAGTCCTGACTGTGCGTCTACCCAAATTTGTTTGCATGTATTGAACTGATTAGGAACACTCACTAGGTTGATACATAAGTTCAAAGCCATCACTGTTTTAAATTCTACATCAAACTTTAAAAAATATAACTCAGTACTCACTGCAGTGAGTTACAAGAGCGCATTTTCTCGTCGACGAAAATTTGAGGTCACGGACAGACGAACGGACAGACAGACAGACAGACGGACATGGCGAGCACAATAGTGCATTTTTCCATAAATAAGAAAATGTTCTAAAAATATCAAAATTATTTATTTTTTGACATGCGATGCACACCAACCGAAGTAATGTCTCAAAAGACTGGTTCATCGACGGCAACGCGTGGCGAGAGGGTGGAGGCACAGAAGCGACTTCTTCAACAATGTTAATTAAGGAAACCCATCAGGGAAGTGAGACATCACATAACCATAACAATTCCATGTATATACAGCCAACTGCTAGTAATCCATGAATTTTTAGAAATATTATATCTAAGGAAATTATTTTTCCGTCGTTTATGTGTCGCAATAATTAAATTCAACTGATTTACATATTACTAGTGACCAAGGGGGAACTATATGGATGAAGGATGTATAGAAAAATTCCTAAGAATTAAAGACAACTGCTACCGAGATCATTGGTAGATTTCGATTTTAGGCAAACCTTCGTTAAGGTACCACTGGGCAGTATGTCCATGTGTTAACAGTTCAGAGTACCAGGATTAGAGCAGAGAGGTGCAGGTTCGATCCTAGCTCTGTGTGACAGTTTATGGTCAGAATCGGCGATGGCGGTTAAGCTCAGAAAAATTGTGGCAGTGATTTGCGTGTTCGAGACCACAGTAATCTGTGAATGCTCTGCGATGTTAAGAATCGGCGTTATGCCTAAAGGACTCATAAACGCTGAGACCGCTTAAAATAAATCATGATGTGCATTGCTCCTTTGAGCCTTTATAAATAACGCAACCGGGCAAAATCGTTTGCATAGGGTGAAACCTTGCCTGTCATAGTTATTCTCATACATCAGTGGTTCCCAGACTTTTCATACTGGCGCCCCCTTTGGTTCTCCAGTGGATCTCAAGACTCTAGCGCCCCCCACCCGGACAGACACATATAAAATCAAATGCCTCTCTCTTGATTATTTAGTCCGCTGCAATTTTAGAAGAGAAAGGTTAAACACAAATGTATGTTTCACAAATAGAACCCCCATTTAGTAAACTAATATATTTTTACAGTTTAAACTGTTTCTGCATGGTTGAACTATAAGTTCAACCATGCTGTTTCTGCACTAGAAATTCAAAAGGGCTCGGACAAATTTCCGGCTGGACTCAAGGCCGGTCTTACGGCCAATCTCCAAATCCAGTGACCAAGGAATATCTCCCAAACTAAGGAACGCAGCTCGATAAAACTTGGAACACGTATTCATGAGGACCTAACGGTGATGTTTAGCTTGGGAAAATTGTTTAAATTTCACCTTCATTCTAGAGTTACATGGCGATAGCCGATATGGGCCGGAGTTCGCAGCGATCAAAGAATTTCTTCCAAACTACAGAACAGGAACGAAATGTTGCCAAACGGTGATTTTCAGCTTGAGAAAATTTATTCGATTCGGAGTCATGTTCTGCATGTGTTGTCACGTTCAAATCGTCAAACAAACGTGCGAACTTAAGACTTCGACTTCTGGGACTGCCGCCCCCCTACTGCCCCTTTCTTCCTTCCCCCCCTCCAGATCTTTCCACCGCCCCTAGGAGGACGATATCACCCACTTTGGGAACCACTGTCATACACTAGCTATAAGGTTTCCAAATTTGAAACAAATTAGGGATCAATATGCAGCTCAGACAACATATTGACCATTGTACTCAAGTGCCAACGATAATTCATTGTGTCACCAGCTTGTTAATGCCTAACCGGGAAGACAAAGACACGTTTGAAGGTGAAAAGCGTCTGCGATCTGCATTATACGGTAGATGTATAAGTCTTAGTTTTGAAAGATAAGAAGGAATAAACATTTTCTTCGATGCAAAATACGTGATACGCGAAGGATAAACATGCATCATTAGGTGATGCTAAATAATTTTATTCATCAAACCGAATGAGATAATTACGAACAACCTTCCAGAGTACAACCATGCCACCATCAATCTTATTCCCAACTTTCCGCTAATGATTACAATTTTCCAACTGATAAGTAAGTGATAACCGATAGGCGCGATTATAGCTACGCGATAGAGTAGCCGGAGTGCCAGTGAGTCAGTCTAGACTGCACTGGTTGCTAGGCCAGCCGCCGGGAGAAGATTATTGCTCTACAGCCTCTACGTAATATAAATATAGCTGATTTGGGGCTTTCCGTGTACATTTGAATAGGCATAGGAGAGATTCTTCATAATGAAAACTGTTGGCATTATCGGAGCTGGAGCTGCTGGACTTTGTGCCTTACGACATGCACTAACGGCCTCACCAAATATTGTTCCAGTTATATGGGAACAGTCCAAGGTTGTTGGAGGCACTTGGGTCTACACTGACAACATTGATAAGGATGATCATGGCCTGCCTGTGCATTCAAGCATGTATAAATCTCTCAGGTAAATTTAAATACTTTTTCATTTTGCTTTTCAAATTTCAAGTGCAATGGTGGTTGGTGGAGCTGTACGGCCTGTACCAACACCAAGACTAGAGGGCAGAGGCTAAGTGGCTAGAGCTAGACTGACCATTAAATCAGCAGTGAGCAGTATTGTTTTTTTGAAATTAAATTTTTAAATTTTGTTTCACCTAACTTGGTTGCTGTTTTTTAAATAATACATGTATTCTACTCAGCTGTCAGAGACTGACACTGGAAAACACAATTATTTATGAGAGACATTATATAGGTACCTAGTACCTACCCATAATTGGGACTTGAATATATTGACTGTTCATCTGTTCTGTACCTAGGTATGTAGGCCTAGTATGAGGCTATAAACCAATCTGAAATATCAAGCAGATTTTTCTGGAAATAGTAGATAAAAATTTATTGACATTTAGGAAATAAGAAGTAGTAAATATGAACGATATTAAAAAAATGGTAGATTAAAATCTGAAAATGTGCCATATTTTTTTTGTAGGCTATGAAAGAAATCAGACAAGGCAACTTAGGCAAGGACCATAAAAAAGGTTGAAATTGACTGCAACTCTGCAAGTCATATCGCCTACGGTCATTTCTGTTTCATTTACAGGTAGTTTCTGCCTGATTTTTCATTTTGAAATTCAAGCCAGATTTTAAATTCCCAAATATTCTTAGATAGAAACTTTGCCTTAACAAACAAAGCCCTTAAAGTTTTTACCCGCTTCAAATTACTTATCATTGCATTTCTGTGCTCCTTGGATACTTTTTTATACTTACTTTAACTTGCATATGTTTTAATATTTTTCATGGAAATAAGTCTGCCTCTACTCTACTTTACTAATGATTAAAATGTGTTCAAGTAAGATATGATGCATTTACTTGGCATTTATATATGTTTTAATATTGTTGATTAACTTGCAATTTAAGCAAAATAATGAAAAAATAATTGAAGTTCTAGTATATTATTGTAAGTTTTGAATAATTGAGTGTTTATAATTACTTTTTTTATTACAGAACAAATCTACCAAAAGAAGTCATGAGCTTCCCCGACTTTCCTTTTCCTGCGGAGGGAGATTCTTTCATACCCCACGCAGCTATGCTCAGATACTTGCAGGATTATTCTCAAAATTTTGACCTTGAACGACATATAAAGGTAATGGAGTAACAATTTGTCTTTGAAGAAAATTCTTGAAATCTTTACTGACTGTCTTTAAGAAGATAATTATTATATTTCAAGTAAAAGATATCCAAATTTGGTCATATCACACTTTTAAGGCAGTGAATGATCTATTTTGATTTTATTGCTTTTGAATAATAGCTTTCTAAAACCTTTAAGATTATTATTTTCAGTTTGAACATGTGGTACTAGAAGTGGTGCCAAGCAAGCCTGGTGCCAGTGACACAGAATGGATTGTGACAGTTCGTGACTTGACGTCAGACAAGCTCACCACCACACTCTGTCATGCTCTGCTAATCTGTAATGGGTCAGATTATATAAAAAATTGTTGAAGGATTTTTTTTACCATCACTAATTGTAGAACTGTGAGCAGAGGCAGATATTGCTGACCTTCAAGAACATTTTTTCCTTTAGATAGGTAGGATATCAATAAATATTGAATCAATTTGTATGGCAAACAAAGAGTCTCATTTGCCTTTACTCATTTAAATTTAATTTGTCACATGATATATGTATAGGTAATACATTTTTATGTTCCAGATTGTGTACAATTTTTTAGTTGTCTTTTATTTGATGAGTGTGGAGATCGTGACTGAAATAAAGAATTATATCTAATATTTTATGTGCAGCCACTACTCAGTTCCATACATTCCTTCCATTGATGGCATTGAGAACTTCTGTGGCTCCACAATGCACAGTCACAGCTACAGAGAAGCTTCACCTTATTCTGATCAAACTGTTGCTGTGTTGGGGGCTTCTGCATCTGGTTTGGATATCTCTGTTGAACTTTGCTCAGTTGCTAAAAAGGTAACTAGTATCTTATTGATTTTTTATCTAAAACAGTGTAAATGTTGACTATGAACATTTATGTTTGTAAAATATATAAACCCTGTGCATGGGATAAATGTGGCGTAAGTTTAGTGTTGAACAAGTATGTTTTTTACAATTTTTTTGTGAGCAAATTTATATATGCCATTTTCTGATTAAGTATTAAGTTTTAACTGAATTATCAGTGAAATGTAGCAATCGATTAATTTTTTTATTTTTGAATTTGATGCATAGGTGTATTTGTGCCACAACCTTCCCATCCCTTTTCCTGCTGCTCTACCCAGCAACCTGGAGCAGAAGGCTGGCATTGTTGGAGTGAAGCAAGGCACCAGCAACACTTTGGTGCTCAAAGATGGCTCTGAACTGGAAGTTGACGCTCTGCTTTATTGCACTGGTAAATAAAACCTTGCATTCTCCTGCTAATGTTCATAAATATGTTATTTTACTAGATTTGTTGAAGCATGAAATGTACCATGTTGTAGGTAATGTAGTAGCAGGGTGGCCCAGTGGCATAGCAGGGTGGCCCAGTGGTTAAAGTTCAGAGTCCCAAGATTGGCGCAGAGAGGCGCGGGTTCGATCCCAGCTCTGTGCGCCAGTTTCTGGTCAGAATCGGCAAGGAGGCCGGGCGGTTAAGCACAGCAGAATTGTAGCAGTGAGTTGCGATATCAAGCCCATAAAATGCTGTGAATGTTCTGCGATGTTAAGAATCGGCGACAGGCTTATGGCCTAATAACGCTGAAACCGCTATTATTATTATTATTATGTTATAAGTACCTTATTAATTTACTGATATTCATGTGATATGTCAGTTTATATGCGTGCTTCTTGCATTTAGTAATGCATTGCAGGTAAAACATATTACCGGTATCTCTTATTTTATTCAGGTTACTACTACACTTTCCCATTCCTTGCTGATTCCTGCGGAGTGACTGTTGAAGACCAGCAAGTATGGCCGCTCTACAGACACCTCATCCACTGTGACTACCCAACCCTTGCATTTGTGGGCATTCCTACCAAAATCCTTCCATTTCCCCTCTTTGACATCCAGGTGGGTGCTGTCGTTTATTGCTAAATTTATTGATAAAATTCAATTGTAAAATAACTACTAATTGACAAGCATGAACATATTTTTCATTATAAACTTTTCCAATCAATCAAATTTGAAAGTAGGCACTTTATGATCGCCTACAATGTTTGGACACTTAAATGTTTGTTTTGCTTATAATGCACATAAATATTGTTAAATTATTCATACTAGTCAGTATTTCTTACTTTCTCTGTGTACTTATACTGGTATCTTGGTATAAAATATTTTCTCTCGTCAATGGTGATGCTTTTGCATTTGAATGGTGAAACATGGGATTATTAATTGCTTGCTACTCTGTTCACTCTTCAGCTAGTGTTCGTTTATTTTTTTGTTGACGCACTTTTCTCTGCTCTTAACTTCTATGTACTATGAGATTTATTTTTTCTTGTTTACGTAGATTCCTTGGCTTGATGTGCTTGTGATCACTACAGGTGCGATTCTTCTTGCGCTTCTTGACTGGAGAGATGAGCTTACCGTCCTGTTCAGAGATGCATGACGATGCTTTAGCGTACCATAACCGCTGCCTTCAGGAGGGTTGCCCTCCTAAACAGTTACATCTCTTAGCGTCCAAGCAGTGGGATTACGTCGCTGAACTTGCCCGCCTGGCTAACTTGCCCAACATTCCTAGTGAAGTTCGACAACTTTATGAACTTGTCCATGGCATCAGGAAATATGACTTGCTCACGTTCAAACAAAAAAAATTTGTTATTGGACAAGATGGAATTTACAGAGAAATGTAGATTTGGTTTTGTAGGCATTTTTACTTTTGTATGTACAATTAGATGTGGTACTCAGAAACTGTGAATTATTAATTGGAGAAATTATCAGTGCAAACATTTCTTAGCAAATTTCAAGTGTGAACGTTTTGTGACTACACAACTTTAGGGAATCATTTTATTTTTTTAATGCACATTCTCTGTCCCTTTAATTTGCTGGGTTTTCCTGTTTCTTTCCCTGTATAGTTTTATGCTTCAACGTCTCAATATTTTATTCGTATTTTCATGACACATCTGGATTGTTTGTTTTAATATTCTTCATATTATCACACTGTTTTTATACTTTGTGTGGAAAAATTATGCCCAAGTGTTTGGCGCTATTTAGCTGCTGTGCCATTTGTAACTGTCTGTGATAGCTTATACGTATAATACATGGGTCGGATTGTTGTGGCACTCTGCTGAGAGAGGAACACTAAAAAACTGAAACGTTGGGATGGCGTAATTTTTTTAATCTGTAGTAGTACGGCAGTTATTTATGGTAAAGAAATCTTGTTGGTTTTTTTCTGTCGTGCCATAAAAACCTTAACGACTTTTGGAATGCGCCGTTGAAATATTCTTCACCTAAGTAGTTGACTTTTTTTATGATAATTGTTGACGGATTTTTTGAAAAATACATGTTTTCATAACGGCCTTATACCAGAGTACCTCGATACGTCCACTGAAAAAATTAAAATAATTTTATAGACTTGACAAGATAACCTATGAGGCGGGAAATGAAAATTGTTCTTCAAGTTCTCGTGACAAAAGAGTAACCATCAGGTCCGATATGTAATCGCTTGCCTTCTGGGACTTGTGCGTCTTCCGTCCTGCTCTGATATGAGGTCAGCAACTGAACAAGACGTGAAGAAGCGAGCTGCTTGGGGACACCCGTCGCGATACTACCACAAGATGGTGTCCGATGACCTTCTCTGGGGATACTTCTATGATTTACAGGCATGCACTTGTTCTAAGACTACCGTTACGCTTTGTTTTCAATGAACTGATAAGCAAATATTTTAGAAGATCTAATGTCATGGAACTGACATTACTATTATTCATGGTAGTCGGTCGAGATAAATTTGTGTCGTCTGCAAACGTTTGTGTTGCTACGTTTACGTTTGTAAAGTGACCGTATGAATGATTTGGTTTAATTTCAATATAGAACAAAATTGATTGTACGAATTTGAAATGTGAAAAACTTGTTGATAAGCTGTATGAAATTTTTTCATTTGCAGGATGATCTCCGCTGTGCCAAGAAGACCGCCCTCAAAGAAGGAACTCCCTGGCCGCTCACTGCTTCTACTGACGACGATGTCGTGCGCCTCAAAGGAATTTGGGAGATTGTTTATCTCCGACTTGTTTTCCAGGTCTTATCCTTCAGAAATTATAACTACAGGCTTTGTAAGACAGACCATGCAAATGCGACAAGCAAGGAGTTACGTGTAGAAGAAACGCTTGATGGAAAAGTCACGCGGCCATTTCCGGACATGTATTGGTGTATATGCAAACGGCTGCTTCCGCTCGTTTGTTGCAATTTCTTTAGTTTCGCTAAGTTTCTTTGCAAGACAATATACTTTAGCTTCAAGAAAAACATTTGGGGTTGGTAAAGGAACGTATTGTGTACAAACACATTCACTACTGTTTGCTTGTTGGTGAAGGTTGTTTTAATCAAGGGACCATGTGATGTTTTAATATGTTACTGAATATATAGCATTCTTTAACTGCCAATATTTGCATGTTAACTCGTTAATAAAATATTTGTTTGGGTAATATGAGTTTATTTAAATGAGAAAATGTTCACGCAACGCTGGTTACTCATCTCACCGAGGAGCAGATTTTCGTAAATTGTTTAGTTTTTCCGATTTGCATTTGGTCGTTCAGACCTCTTTTGTCGGCAAAGATCAGATGATCATATATCGAAAGATCAGATGATCAAATGTCGAAAGATCAGATGATCATCTGTCGAAAGATCCGATGATCATATGTCGAAAGATCAGACGATCATATGTCGAAAGATCAGACGATCATATGTCGAAAGATCAGACGATCATATGTCGAAAGATCAGATGATTTCATATGTCGAAAGATCAAGCGATCAAATGTCGAAAGATCAGGCGATCATATGTCGAAAGATCAAGCGATCAAATGTCGAAAGATCAGGCGATCAAATGTCGAAAGATCAGGCGATCAAATGGCGAAAGATCAGGCGATCATATGTCGAAAGATCAAGCGATCATATGTCAAAAGATCAAGCGATCATATGTCGAAAGATCAGGCGATCACATGCCAAAAGCTGACACATGCAAACAAGGAGAAGAACCATCCCGGAGTTCAGATACCAATCTATTCAAAACTACTAATCCTGTTTTTCATGATTCAGGGGAAAACATTTTCTATGATAAGCTAAACGACTACCAAGTTAAGATCAACAAAAAAAACAACAGATTTTATATCTAGGACGACGCATTCGCTTTCAGTTGGTCAACAAGCTAAGACACTACAACGTTAATTGGACCCCAAATATAGGTTCAGAGAGCAACAAATGTAACAGAATACAACTCGTACAGTTAACCCTCCTGTTTCCAATGTGCTAGTACTTCTGTACCAGACCATATGAAAGCAATGATCGAAGAAAAAAACATTGTCTAGCCGTTTCCAAGGGAGTTTCTCATCTTCACCAGCGTTCAACTGCAGGCTTCAGCACGCTCACCCCTTCACCGCCTTGTTTTATGATGGTCCTGGTTTCTCTGCCCCTGCCTTGTGGACCAACCCACTTGGTTTTAATGGACCCCCACCCCCGTGATCCTGGAGACGCGGTTGCCACCACCTCCCAGTTGTGGACCGTCGTACGCCCGTTCTCTACTTCAGTAGGCGCTGCTGTAGAAAATGTTTACTTGACATTAATTGATGAAGAGATAGAGCGTACTTCTCTTACATAATTCTTGTAGAAAACATTCTCACGGAGACAGAGAATGTTTATAAATGATCGTAATGTAGGACATGTTGCTGAACTCGCTGTTATTTTTAGGAGCCACTCTGGACTGCTGTAGTAAACGTTCATGTGACATTAATAGAAGAAGAGCTAAAGCGTAATTCTCTCGAACGAAATTCATGCGAAAAATATTTTCTGGAAAACCAAGAAGATTTTTACATAAGCCGTATGAATTTTTTCATTTGCAGGATAATCTCCGCTGTGCCAAGATGACCGCTCTCATAGAAGGTTAAGAAGTACGCTATGGGCAAGTAATATAAGCTATTTTCCTGAATTTAAATTTATTTTTAGAAGCATTTTTGGACTTACTAATTTTTTCACCACATGCTATTTGACGACCATACAGAGTGAACGTCGTGGTTTCCGCAGAGGATGCATTGAACTGAAGCGACAAGTCGCCGTTGCCTGCAAAACTCGTGAGCACTGGAAAAGTATGCATGATCAGTGTTTCTGCGTTAAAATAATGACTATTTGGAATTACCTTGTTTAATGCTAACGCATTGGCATCATTTCACTGATTCAAACACATAAATATTATTTGATCTATTGAAAAACATCATCATCCATTGATTAATTATTTCATTCAATTCCTGTTTTTTCCGTTTCTTAAAAATGGAATCGTTTAATTTAGTACATGGAAATTTGGCGCAACTACTAGGATATATTTACAAAACCATTTATTTTGATGCTCAGTACCACAATAAACTAATTGTATGGAGGTTGTCTGCATTTAGACCTGCAGTACAGCGATACTGACTGTGTACGGAGGGTTCGTCAGAGCAGCGGGCGTCACTGGAGTTGCGGCAGTTTTCGTTAAATTGAAGGTCTTGTACCTGCAGCACGAGAGAACACCTATCTGCTCCACTCCTGCAATAAAAAATTAGCTCAATTTTCTATTTGAACAACAACTTAGGGCATGAGTATTATAATTAAAATGTCACTTACAACGTCAATGCACACAAATTGAGAGATGTCAGGAACGGATAACAGAGCTTGTTAGCTGCGACAAAAAAAGTGCAGCGACGCTACAAACGTAATAATCAATTATCGTCATGAAGACATTGCCATTTTATTTCTCAATAATTCATTTCAAATATTACATAGCCCAGTAACAAAAAATAAACCACTGAGACGTGGGCATTGAATTGTCAACTTGCTTTGCGATATGATAGGTGCATAATTGAGGTCCCTTGGAAGACACGTGGTGCAGCGCTTCGGAACTGTCGATGTGGAACTCTTCTTCCATAATGCGTCGACCACAGCCACTCACGGTCACGGTATTAACCAAGGACTCTGAAGCGAGAGGCAGCTGACTTATGTCACTAAAACCACTAAAATTGTCAGTAAAGTCTTCGAAATGGTCAGAAGTAGATGAACTGGAAGGAATGATTAAGGCTGGAATGGCTTTATTGTGACGAGGGGACGAGATTGAGTTTGTTGGCCCAAAAAACGGTGGTGGAGTAGCAGTGATTAGAACGGTCGGTGGTCGAAATGGCCTTACTGTGGCCAGTCCGGCTACATTACTGGATGGAGAGACATGTATATCAGGGAAACTTATTGCTCGAGGGGTCGTGTGTACTGGAGGAAAGTTGATGGGTCTTTGATTGATTTGCTCGGTCGGTGGGTGTATAGGTGTAGGGGTTATGACGTAGTCTGGAGTTATTGAGGAGTCCGTGTATACTGGAGTTGTAGCATAGCTGGATGATCCGCTTGTGGACCAAAAGGGCCTGAAGCCTGGACGTGCTGGAGACACTGAGAACAAAATTGAAAAAATATTTAGAGATTCTGCATCAAATAGTAACTTTGCTTGGCGTTTTCCGGAACAGATAATCACGTTAAAAAACTCAAATGAAACAAAAATTAAGGCAAGGCAAGGCGAGACATAAGCATTTAGACGATTTGAATTATCGACAGGAATACATTCTGGCAGATAATATAATTAGTCTCACGATAATGTTCTCATCATGTTCACCTGATTTGTCGCCTGTAGTGACTGCCTCACCGAGTATAGGTTTTACCGATCTTTTCGGATTAGAAGATTATTAACTTAAACACATCATATATATACCTGATAAGTAGCCTGTCTGCGGAACGTGGTGCGCTTGATGGCTTGGCACGACAATATAAGCGTTGTGTTGAGGGTAACGGGCTCCTTGACTGCTCCAAGGTCTTTGAGTGTACGGTGTTTGAGTATAAGGTCTCTGAGTGGTTGGTACATAGGTAGTCGGTCTCTGGGTCTGAGGGTAGACCTGAGGGTATCGGAACCGAGTGGGACGAACGTAGCTCCCGGGTTCGGGCGGTCTGTAGTACGGGTTTCGGATGAATATGTAGCGGTAGGGACGGTGTTGATAATTAGATCCTTCATAACCAACATTCTGGCTGGTTATTTTCAGGGGTCGAGTCGGTCTCGGTTTATAAGTGGTTGTTGTCGTCGTCGGCCGATATTTTCGCTGAGGTTGAGGCCTTGGTTCAGGCTTTTCATAATGAACATCAACTTGAGCGTCACCCGATTCCCTTGTCTTCTTGTAATCCTTCCTGAAAATATCCTTCATTTTCTTGAATTTACTCTTCATCATCGCGAAAAAGTCATATTTTTCTTTTCCTTGATTTTGGTTACTTGGAGGAAGTTTATTTTCTCCCTCTACTTCAACAACTTGAGGAGTCGGCTGGGGCAAATAATAGTACACGTAATGATAATCTTTATCAAAGTGTCCCTGAGGTTGTGGATGATGTTTGTGATCAGTAACGAACTCGGGGTAGTTGTCATATTCATGACCATTATAATGCACAGATGTGTCAGAGGTTCCGAAACTTGTATTGATGAACTGCTTATCTGATCCTATTTGTGAGCTATTTCGGGATGGTGCTGGATCAACATAGTGGATTCCGACATCACCAATATTTCCTCCTGCGAATATTCCTCCATTACCGCCTTGCTTAGGATGAGTCCAAGAAGTTCCATGTTGCGGTGGGGAGGTGAAAATTTGAGGTCCGGTTGCGGTATGTAATCCGGAAAAAGTTCCTATAGGCTCGAAGTTCCCGCATTGCATTTGGTACACGGTGATGTGGAAGCCACCATCTCGCCCCTCAGGATCCGAATGGAATATCAACTGCATCTCGTTCTCTGAGAAGTGGTAGGTCCCTGCGGAGAATATATGAGTGTATGGATGATGTTTCAGATTTAATTTTTGTTAACTTTATATAGAAAACAGACATATACATTATTGAGGAGTCCGTGTATACTGGAGTTGTAGCATAGCTGGATGATCCGCTTGTGGACCAAAAGGGCCTGAATCCTGGACGTGCTGGAGACACTGAGAACAAAATTGAAAAAATATTTAGAGATTCTGCATCAAATAGTAACTTTGCTTGGCGTTTTCCGGAACAGATAATCACGTTAAAAAACTCAAATGAAACAAAAATTAAGGCAAGGCAAGGCGAGACATAAGCATTTAGACGATTTGAATTATCGACAGGAATACATTCTGGCAGATAATATAATTAGTCTCACGATAATGTTCTCATCATGTTCACCTGATTTGTCGCCTGTAGTGACTGCCTCACCGAGTATAGGTTTTACCGATCTTTTCGGATTAGAAGATTATTAACTTAAACACATCATATATATACCTGATAAGTAGCCTGTCTGCGGAACGTGGTGCGCTTGATGGCTTGGCACGACAATATAAGCGTTGTGTTGAGGGTAACGGGCTCCTTGACTGCTCCAAGGTCTTTGAGTGTACGGTGTTTGAGTATAAGGTCTCTGAGTGGTTGGTACATAGGTAGTCGGTCTCTGGGTCTGAGGGTAGACCTGAGGGTATCGGAACCGAGTGGGACGAACGTAGCTCCCGGGTTCGGGCGGTCTGTAGTACGGGTTTCGGATGAATATGTAGCGGTAGGGACGGTGTTGATAATTAGATCCTTCATAACCAACATTCTGGCTGGTTATTTTCAGGGGTCGAGTCGGTCTCGGTTTATAAGTGGTTGTTGTCGTCGTCGGCCGATATTTTCGCTGAGGTTGAGGCCTTGGTTCAGGCTTTTCATAATGAACATCAACTTGAGCGTCACCCGATTCCCTTGTCTTCTTGTAATCCTTCCTGAAAATATCCTTCATTTTCTTGAATTTACTCTTCATCATCGCGAAAAAGTCATATTTTTCTTTTCCTTGATTTTGGTTACTTGGAGGAAGTTTATTTTCTCCCTCTACTTCAACAACTTGAGGAGTCGGCTGGGGCAAATAATAGTACACGTAATGATAATCTTTATCAAAGTGTCCCTGAGGTTGTGGATGATGTTTGTGATCAGTAACGAAGTCGGGGTAGTTGTCATATTCATGACCATTATAATGCACAGATGTGTCAGAGGTTCCGAAACTTGTATTGATGAACTGCTTATCTGATCCTATTTGTGAGCTATTTCGGGATGGTGCTGGATCAACATAGTGGATTCCGACATCACCAATATTTCCTCCTGCGAATATTCCTCCATTACCGCCTTGCTTAGGATGAGTCCAAGAAGTTCCATGCTGCGGTGTGGAGGTGAAAATTTGAGCTCCGGTTGCGGTATGTAATCCGGAAAAAGTTCCTATAGGCTCGAAGTTCCCGCATTGCATTTGGTACACGGTGATGTGGAAGCCACCATCTCGCCCCTCAGGATCCGAATGGAATATCAACTGCATCTCGTTCTCTGAGAAGTGGTAGGTCCCTGCGGAGAAAATATAAGTGTATGGATGATGGTTCAGATTTAATTTTTGTTCATTTTATATAGAAAACAGACATATACATTGCAAAACTGTTTTCTGGGGAGTAATGGCATGAAATTTTGTTCGAAAACTTGTGAGCATTCAATTAAAGTTTCTATAAGATGCTTCTTTATATATCTGGACGCATAATTCAAAGCTTCAGGCACCAAGAACACCACACAACAAACAATTTTAAAGCGTTTGTTAAGTAATAATTTGACTCACGGACTTCCTTATTCTTGCGGATGCCACACAGTCTTTGTTGAGACCCAACCTGGAGGAAGCTGCGACCGCACTCAATCCTTGAGCCCATCTGCAGGTTTTCGATCTGTTGAAGAAGTTCAAATTAATTCTTGTCACGGATAAAATGCGTTTATGAACATTCATTTTCATAATTTTATTGTGATTTTTGATGTGATTAGAATTTTTATCGATCTTGGCACATCAATTTTATCTATGGTATCTGATAAGTGATAACATAAGTTTTCGCGTTTAAAATGGGTACATTATTTATATTTAGTCATGCGACAGGTACCAAAATGATACTTCTGTATAAGCCAGAAGTATTCCGTTATTCCGTTTTTAATCATAGAATTTTTATTGATGGCCAATTCTCATACATTTTCATGTTTTTAAAAATTGAAATATATTAATCTTAATTCCTTGTACCTCAATTTTTAGCTGGCAAACGTCGTTGCTGGATTTTTCTATGGTGTAGACGCAGTGCAGGTCTTGCTCAGGCGGTTCAGGGTATCCTGGTGACTTGATTGACACGATTTTCTGGTTTGTCGTGTCTCCGCACTTGGAAATTGTGGGCACGCTCGCGTCTGGGACAATCTGAGGGGGCGGCCGCAATGTGCTTGTTGCCCAAGACCCCGGGAATGGGTGAGGGGAACTGGAGGGAACAATCACCCCTATAGCGCTGAAAGGTGGGTAAGGGGGCAAAGGAAGAGGCCGGGTTGGGGGAGGTGGTCGCGAAGATACGGGCTGGAAAGGTCCGGGAGCTTGGAATTTGTTTTGTCTCACGTGGATACGATACCCGCGATCTGCACGTTGACCGTCAGACTGGAACAGCAACTCCAGCTCGTCCGATGGGAATTTGTACGAGACTGGAAAGTGGAGACAGGAAGTCTAATTTTCCACAGTTCAACGTATCAAATTTAATTTTACTCAAATCGCACGTTCACGCTTTATTATTTTTAAAAATATACATTTATGCTCATAAAATCGTGCAATTTGGAAACATAATCTTACTTTTTTCTCCAGAACGCGGACCGCAGATCCGAGCAGATCCTACAGCGAAGTAGTCCTTGGCACATTGTTGAGAGTCCTCCAAGTAGAAGTCCTCCAAAAACAACGTGATGCTGGAATGCGGGCAGGACTGACATATCAGAAACACAATATACGATCTTTTATTTAGCTCGCGAATAACGGTGTCCAAATATCAAGCTGAATATTATTGCACCTAAATAAGACGGAGAAAGAGCCTTGACGTCTATGCTCTATGCCATGATGATGAAAAGAAATGCAGCATATATCGAAAAATAACATTCATGATTGCTTTTACATCTTTTTGTCTAATTATTACCTCTGAATTTCAGGGGATGCCTTGACTACCCGGATGAGACAGTTGGCGTCGCTAGGATAGTAGCCAGGGTAGTGAGGGCTTTGAATGATGGCCTGCTCACTAGTGATGGTCATGTCACACTTCACACTCGAAGAAATTTGTACCTCTTCTGAACTACAATTGTCGCCTCGGAGCTGAAGAATCCGAGCCTACGAACAAGCAGGAATTGGATTCTAATCTATCACGTACATTGGTATCTTACGTGTATTTATATTATTAGCTTAATTAAATCACTTGTTTTCTTGAAGTTTTGAACAGATAATAAAGCTAGTCTCCGGAAAGTTTACAAGGAAATTCTGGTGAATTTACCTGTCTTTCAAATCCTTAGTGTCGTACATGTTGGATATATTCTGTTTACTCAGTTGAAATAGAAGACCATTTGAATACAAAATATAACTCAGTACGCACTGCAGTGAGTGACAGAGAGCGCATTTTCTCGTCGACGAAAACGTGAAGTCACGGAAGGACGGACGGACGGACAGACGGACCAACGGACGGACCTGACGAGCACAATAGTGCATTTTTTCCTTAAATGAGAAAATGCGCTAAAAATTGATCTAATAAAAATGGATCTAAAAATAGGATCCGCAGTTCAGTAACGGAAATATGGTACATTACATGCGGAATCATCAGTGCTTGGAAGTTTAGAGTGAAGTGCGCGGCAGCGCGTGTGTGTTAGGTATTGATGCGTGAAAAATCTTTCTGGAATACATTGTGGTTTTCATTTGGTGTAGCAGTGTCAGTCATTTGTGTCTGTTTGCCGGAAAATGTATGGAAAAGTAAGCCTGGAAGTTTTTAAATTATAACAAAATTAGCACTCCCAGAGAAAAAAATTGTTGAGTAAATCTTTCGGTGAATTGCGATTTCGGTCTTTAAGAAGTTTCGTTATTGAACAACGCATCACAAGAGGCCTAAGAATTCTAAGAAGGAACTACCAGAAATTTCATCAATGGCAACTTGGCAAGTACATAAATTTTTGATAATTTTATCCATAAAAATGCCATTATTTGTTAAGTTCTATATTATTGTGGTCAACTTAATCAGAATTATTGTACAGCAGTTAGTTGAGAGTAAAAAGGTACCCTTTTACTCGCTGTAACTGCACTTGGTTGACCCTTAGCATGGTGGTATTGTTAATGAGGCATAATTCTACATCATGGGCAGTTTTATTATTGCTCACGCCAATAACCAGGAAGGTTGTCACCGGCATGAAAAGCTGATTAAAGCAAACTTCTTTATTAATGTCCGCTATATATTTTAACGTTATTCTTTAACCGTATTTTGCAAGTGGCTTTATGTTCGATTTCGAAATTCCCCGATTTGCTGTGGATAGGTGCAAGGAACACCGTTGATTCTTTAGACAACTTTACTCACTGTGAAGCCTGTGTCGGCTGAGGGGTCGTCCGAATGTAGGTGTAATCGAACCATGGGTGCCGGGTATCCGATGCTGACTGCAAAAATACTTTATGCAATTTGGGATCGGAATTTGTCGATGCCGATTGAAAAAAAAGCATTGTACAAAATAAATTTCGCAGTTTTTCATTATTTTATAAAATTGTTATAACGTCGTCGAGAAATTTCACCGTGTCGCGAGAGTTGAAATGTATTTCGTTTACATTTCTGCCCATGGTTATCAATAAAAACTGGTTAGTGTAGGCTGGTCACTTTGAGTTTCAACTAATAAATATTTCAACAATTTACAATTAAATTTCTCATCTTCACTTTAAATCCTTCCGATACAATAACAGTTCTGCTATTCCTTACTTTT